GGAGCTCGTTTTTTGCGCTAGCGCAATGGGATGCTTAATATTCAAAAAAGCTTTCGACTGGGCGTTCTGTTTCTCCATTTGTTGAGGTTTTCAAAAAAAAAATCGTACTTTTTTTGCGTTTTTTTGCATCTATGCAATGCGGGAAACGCATATTGACGAGAGATTGTCTGTGTATGTGTGTGTCTGTGTGTTTATCAGTACCGATTTTTCATCTCGAGACCTACAAAAGCTACAGGGCCGACACTTTGAGAAATTAATCTACATGCACATATGGATCTCCATCTCTAGAATAGACACTCATATCCACGTGTCCTCACGTACAGGTTTGTGAAAATTTTCGGCGAATAAGCTGCTAATTTGGGAAACAGAGAAGCTAGAAGGCTGAAGTTTTAAGGGAATGTTCCCCATCCACGCTGCCCAGTTATTTACTATTAGTATGCGTTTAAAAATTAAATACTTTATTCATTTCCTCATCTAATCGGTTAACAAACAAGTGTTAATATCATATACTGTTGAGTGGCTGTTCAGGTTGAGCGGACACGTTCAAGGCCACTAGCCAGCGGCGAACTTACTGATCGTGATGCCATCATGCTGTTATCAGTTTTGTTATCTGCATCATTGGGAATATTGTTGCAGTTCAACTGGCTCAGGTTTGTCCCCTTTGATCGGATCCAGGCTTGGGTTTGCCCCCTTTTTCACTCCGGTGATTCGCCGGGTATTTATACTGCCATCAGGATTTAGACAGTTAAGTTCAGTCTGTATCAATTCAATAATTTCCCGCCAAAAAGTATCAATTTAACAGTTTTCCGCCAAAAAATTTGCTGTATTATGTTGGTAGCCAAAGAAAGCATTTGGTTTACGATTTTTTTTTAATCGAAAAATTGCTATATTTTTGGTTCCTGTCAACATTATCATGTTTGGAATCTGATTTTTCTAAGCATATTTTGCAAGTTTTTTTGTTTTTTCCACTCCGGTGATCCTCCTGGTATTTATATTGCCACCAGGATTTAGACAGTTGAGTTCAGTTTCCGAGAATCAGATGAATTTAAAAAATTAATTTTCC